GAGCCCTAATACTGTTGTTAGGTGCCGTCGAGTCGGCTCCGACTCATAGTGACCCTTTGTACAGTAGAATGAAACATTGCCCAGTCCTGTGCCGCCTCACAATCCTATCGATATGTGAGACCATAGTTGCAGCCACTGGGTCAATCCATTTAATTGAGGGTCTTCCCCTTCTTTTTGGACCCTCCACTTTACCAAGCATGATATCCTTCTCCAGGGAATGGTCCCTTCTGACAACAGGTGAGATGAAGTCTGGTCATTCTCTCTTCAAGGAACATTCTGGCTGCACTTCTTGCAGGACAGATTTGTTTGTTCTTTTGGCAGTCCATGGCACTTTCCATATTCTTTGCCAACACCACAACTCAAAAGCATCAACTCTTTTTTGGTCTTCTTTGTTTATTGTCCAGCTCTCACATGCATATGAGGTTGTTCCTGGTAACCAACAAAGAAAGTTTCCTTCTATATATAAACTTTTCCTTGACTTTTTACAATAGTGGACTAATACAATATTTGTCTTTCTGTGATTGACTTATTTCACTCAGCTTAATGTCCTCCAAGTTCATCCACATTATGGGGTATTTTTCAGATTCTACTTTATTCTTTCGGATTGCATAGTATCCATTGTATTTATGTATTGCCGTCTGGTCAGTTCCTCTGCTGATGGGCACTTAGGTTGTTTTTCCTTCTCTTTGCTATTGTGAATAGTGCTATGATGATATATGGGTGTGTATATATCTATTCCTGTACTGGCTCTCACTTCTTTAAGAAATATACCTAGTAATGGAATTGTTGGATCAAATGGTATTTCTATTTCTAACTTTTTAAGGAATCAACATACCAATTTCCACAGTGGTTGTATCATTTTACATTCCCATGCTGGTGGGACTTTAACATGGTGCAACCATTGTGGAAAATGGTATGGTGCTTCCTTAAATATTTGGAAATAGAAATATCATATAATCCAGCAATCCTACTTCTTGGTATATATCCTAGAGTAAGAAGAGTCAATGACATGAACAGATAAATGCACACTCTTGTTCATGGCAGCATTAGTCATAATAGCAAAAAGATGGAAATAACCTAAATGCCAGTCAATGGATGAATAGATAAACGTGGTACATGCACACAATGGAAACTACACAAGATTAAAGAACAACACATATGGGAAACATCTCATAATATGGATGAACCTAGAAGACACTATGCAGAGTGACATTAGTCAATTATGAAAGGACAAATATATTGTATAAGACCATTACTGTAAAAAGTTTACACAGAGGAAGAAGTGTAATGGGAAAACTTCAGACATCAATTAAAGGAAAATTGTAATAGAGATGTGTATGCTTTTCCTACATGAAATCCAGAATTATAAAGACATTGACACTCTTGATTGATTTATAGATTTAATAAAATTCAAATAAAAATCTGAATAAAATTAAAATTGGCAAGTGTTTCTAAAATTCATTTTGTTCACTTGGGAGTTTAAAATGATGAGATATACAAAAGTAACGTTGGGAAGAAATTCTCTAAATTTAAAAGTGCAGTAATTATGATTGTGGTACTTTATGCATCAGTATATATTCAGAGCTACTGAAAAAATCTAAAATAAGTAAGAATTTAATTTATGGTAAAAGTGGTATTACACATTCATGAAGAGAATTATCTTTCAGTAACTGGTTCTGGAATGATTAATTACCTGTTTGGATAAAAACTTTTAAGTTAAAGCTCTCTCTCATACCCTATCAATTTAATTCTAGACAGATTATAGAATTAAAAATGAAAACATGAATCTACAAATAAATGTGATATTTTCCTGACTTGGTAGTAGAGAGGGCTGTTAGACAAAGACTAGTGAAGATAGAATAAAAAATTTATAAACTTGATGAAACAAAAATACGTCCATCAAAGTAACTGCATAAACAAACATAAAATGAAAGCAATGAACTCTTAACTATTTTAAATATTTTTCATGTATAATAAAGAATTAATATCTGGAGTGAGTAAAGAAATCCTCCACTTAGGTTAAGATGAGAATGTAATAAATTAATGGACTGTAGACACAATAACAGTTCTTAATAGAAACACATGTGAATGTTAAACTATGTAAAACTTGTTAATTCACCATGAATTCAAGAAATGGAGTTGAAAATTTGAATGGAATTTTTTCATCTGTGCCTTGGCAATGACCAACCCAAAATACATGGTATGTGGAAGGTTTAGGGGAAATAGCACTGGAATATACTGGTGGAGGGAAGGTCGACTGACACAGCCTTGTTTGGGAGAGGAAGTTGGTTTTTTTTAGTAAGTATCTCTTTAACTCAAGTCTACTTCCATTTTATTCAAAGTAATCCCTCAGGATATGTATACACAATGACGTGGAAGGTTGTTCCTTGAATATTAATCATAATAATGAAAAATTAACCATAGGACCCAACAATTCCAGACATATATCCAAAAGATTCAAAAGCTGGGATGCAAACAGCTACTTGTACACCAACATTCACTGTAGTATTATTCACAATAACAAAAAGAGGAAACAACCCAAGTGCCTGTTAACAGATGAATAGATAAATAAAATGTGGTACATATATTGGATGGAATATTATTCAACCATAAAGAGGAAATTTTGATACATACTGCATACTATGACATGGATGAACTTTGAAAACATGTGCTAATTGAACTAAATCAGAAACAAAAGGGCAAATATTGTATGATCTCACTTATATGAAATAACTAAAATAAGCAAATAGATAGAGGCAAACGTATATTAATGATTACCAATGGCTGAGGGACAGGGACAATGGAGAATTACTGCTTAAGGGGTACTGAGTTTCTGTTTGGGGTGATGAAAACCTTCTGAAAATACTGGTGTTGGTTGGCACAACATGGTGAATATAATTAATGCTATTGACGTGTATAGTTAAAATGGCCAAAATGGCAAACATTTTATGTATATTTTACCACAATAAAATAAAATTTTAAAATTCTATTTGCAGGATCCCAGACCCAATTGATCTGCAATGTCACTGGTCAGAGTTTTGTCCAGTGGTGGTGGAATGGATCATACATTGATGACGATGATCCAGTGTTGGCTGAAGAGTATGAAATGTAAGTATGTTTAGAGCCAGGAATACAGTAGAGACATTTTGATATTAAGTTCCATGCCATACTTTATATAACCTTGTTTGTTCAGTCTAATGTTGAGGGTTATTTGTCAGTTGATGGTCCTAATGTTACCAAGTGAATCAGGATTTATAAGATTGTGTACACATAAGGTAAACTATATATCATTGTGGTGCAAATTCCAGATTACTTGGAAGGTTTTCTTTGCAGCTTATTTACATTGCTCTTTATTTTATTCCTTTTTAAAAGAGTGGGATCAGGTATTAGATCCGCCATTGGTCAAAAGTCTCTAGTGACTATATATTACTTCCTGATAGGGTAAATCCAGACTTCTTACCATCATCTGTAGGAGCTCTGGTGGCGTAGTGCCTAAGGCATTTGACTGCTAACCAGAAGGCTGGTGGTTCAAATCCACCAGCCACTCCTTGGAAGGAAGGTCAGACAATCACCTTCCCTAGTGATACTGCCTAGGGGTTGCTATGAGTCAGATCCAACTCCACGGCAGTGAGGTTTTTTTTTGTTTTGTTTTGTTTTTGTATCATCATCTGTAAAGCCTTTGTAATCTGCCTCAAACTAATCTTGTTTAGTATATTCTTCTCTGTGTACCGTGGAGACCAGAACGCATATGCTTATTTCTTGAAAGCTTTTCCTTTTAGTTTGATTTCTCTGAGACTCAGTGTGTTACTGACAGTGGTCTTGAGGCTATAAAATCTCAGGTAGGTATTGCCAGTGGTCTGATTTTTATGCTTGTGATTTGGACTTAGTGGTTACTTTTGCCATGATTTATATTACAAATAAAGAAATAACCAAGTATATGTTCTTATTTGTCATTGATGCAATTTACCCAACTTTATTTATTTTCTCTGTTTTCAACAGAGTGGAAAATCCAACCAGAAAAAGGCAAACAATAATCTTAATGCTTAATATTTCAGAAGTGGAAAGTAGATTTTATCTATACCCATTTACCTGTACAGCCATGAATGGACTTGGCAAAAACGAAGCATATGTCCAATTAATACATCCAGGTAAACAACAAACTATTTATTTAAGATAAAATGTTGTTTTATTTTGACATTGTGGTTTGCAATGCTATTTCCTTTGCTTAGAACACTCTTTACTTCCTCCTAACCTAGGACACCTCTATTACTCTTTCACTTGTCAGCCAAACTATTTGTCCTCTTGGGAAGCTTTTCTGTTCTGCTCTCTACCCTTAATCAGCTCACTACCTGTTCTGGTTAACTAGTGCCACTCTGACAAGAATATACCACAAATGGGATGGTCTCAACAACAGGAGTTTATTCTCTTACAGTTTGAAGCCTTTAAGTCCAAGTTCAAAGTGCCAGGCTCTAGGGGCTGGGTGAAAGCCCCTTGACCTTGGGCTTTAGCTCTGTCTCCAGCTCCCGGCCACTGAAGCTAGAGGCCTTTCTTCACTCAGGCAGCTGCTGGCTGCTGAGGCTGACAAACCCAAGGTTGACAAGTAAAAAGTACAGTACCGATATTACCAAATCACACAGCAGGCCATTAATTCAAGTCCATTGTAAGTCCCAAGGATGGCAGAGCATGGCAGCCTGCTGAACAACAGCATGGCTACATGCAGGGTTCCAAGTGCCATAAGCTAGAGACCATTCCCAAAGCTGCTTCTTATATACAGGAAGCAGACCACATACCCAAAGCAGCTACTCAGCTGCTTGTGGTAGATCCCACCATGGAGTTGATTGCTAGTCTCATCATGGGGAATATCTACCACCAGCTGCCCAGCCACTCAACCAGGCCCAGCCAAGTTGACGTACACATAACCACCATAGTACCCAAACAGTGGAGTTAGGGGCTGTGTTACGTACTTCCAGAGCATCATATGTTCCGACTGCTGCAGCTATCATACTTAGTTCTCTACTGGGTTGTAAAGTCTGTGATAGTACAAACTATTTATCTTACCAGAGCTACTAGCAACTTAGGCCTGGTCCATTGTAGGTGCCTAAAAAATATGTTTAGGTAAATGACTCCATGATTGATTGGATTGGATGCATAGGAGGAAGCCTAGCTGTCCATTTTCCCAACAGGATGTCAGAAGTTACTGGTTTCGTTACAGTGGTATAATCAAACATAGTATTTGAAAGTATTCATGACGTATTTAAGATAATTTATAGTTGGACTAAATATAGGGTGTTTATAAATGTGTGCATGGAAGAAAATCGTAGTGCCTAAGGCACTTGACTACTAACCAGAAGGCTGGTGGTTCAAACCCACCAGCCACTCCTTTGAAGGAAGATGGGGCAATCTACTTCCATAGTGATACTACCTCAGAAACCCAAGGAGGGGTTGCTATGAGTCAGGTCCGACTCGATGGCACATAACAACAACAACAACAACAACATTGTTAGAATTAGTAAGTGAATTGACTACTGCAATATATATGTATGTCTGAATACCAGTAACAAACAAATAGCAATTAAATTTAAAAGAGAACATTTGCAATAGCATCAAAACTCATCCACTCCTTTGGAATAAATCTAGCAAAAGCTGTCCAAGATCTCTATAACGCAAACTAAAATAACATTATTGAGCTATACTAGGGAAGATCTAAATAGGTGACAGGATATAAAATGTTCATAAATTGACAGAATCAATATTATAAACATGTCAGTTCTCTCCAAATGAATCAATAGATTCAAATTACTTCCAGTAAAATTCTCAACAGGAG